TAACCACAACCTGTGTTGCATGCCTTAAAAGCTAACATATTCGCACCAATGTTTAGATGCAAGGAGCTTGCAGAAATACTTAGGGGGCCAGGGACAGTGGAGGCCTAAACTATGAGAGTATGCTTTCACATCATCTTCGTAAAGTCAGGATACAGTCATGAAAGGAAGGCCTTTGGATCAGTGAATTAAATAAGCATAAAGAATTGGGGACAGTTCTCATCTACCCTTTCACTGATGGTTTGCATAAACCTAGTTAAAGTCCTTTGGGGCTTTTGTATTCCACTGAGAGTAATGGAGAAGTGAATGGTAATTTCCCCTATAAAACTGAGATAAGGTAGGTGGGAATCATCATGTCAAAGCATTCTAAAGTAAAATTTTTTATTTTGAGAAAAAAATTTTAAATATAGAAAAGTACAAACAATAGTGTAATAGTCCAAGATTCTGTTACTCGATTTTCTCTTCATAGTTAACACTTGGCCATAATTGCCATATTTGCCATAATTGCTTTAATATTTTCTGTTAATAAACAAAACAGTACAGAAAAAGTTCCATTTTTTTATGCACAATGAATCATGGAACACTACATCAAAAACTAATGATGTAATGTATGGTGATTAACATAACAATAAAAATTTAAAAAAAGAAAAAGTTCCATTTTTAAATTTATTTTTATTATTTTTTTTTTTAGAGATGGGGGGAAGGAGCAGAGGGAGAGAATCTTAAGCAGGCTCCATGCCCAGCGAGGAGCCCGACATGGGGCTTGATCCCACAACCCTGAGATCATGACCTGAGCTGAAATTAAGAGTCAGGCGCTTAACCTACTGAGCCACCCAGGTGCCCTGATAAAATTCCATTTCTTAGATCCCATCTCCAGTTTTACTGTCGTAAATTTCATGTCTCTTTTTATATTTTTGGTGACATTTATGTAATGATGAACAACATATGATACTGTTTTGTGTTTTTAAAACTTTACCTAAAGAGTAAACCATATAGATAGATAAATAGATATCTTCCTCAAAGCATTCCTTAAAATATGAAGTGCTCTTTTTAGCCTTTTAATCTCCACATGTAGGTTGTTTAAATTATTATTAAGATACAGCTTTGGAGTAATGTTGGGGGCAGGATGGAAGAGTTCACAAGTTGAGAAATTCTGGTATGAGATTTGGAGAGTTACTGTGTGCAGACTCAGTCCTAGCAGAAGGCTCATGTAGCACTAATCTCCCAATTTTGTTAGTTCTATGATCACAGATGACTTATAAATAAATCTGCTTATGTGATAATATATAGTAAAACTTATGCATTTATATTCAGTATGTACCTAGACATACATATATGTGTATGTATTATTAAATTTAGGCCATACGATTGCATTCAAATATATAAAGTTTCACATTTATAGTAGTGTGCATTAGTAAAGAATATTTTCTAGATATTTATCTTGGTTTATTTGGAGAAGGTTCCAATAGTTTTCATGAATCCAAAGGGGCATTACCTTTCAATTGTGATGCAGTAAAAATTTGTTCTTTTTTCAAGGAAATGCTTGAGATATACTTATATCAGTGTTTTATAATTATGTTTTTATCTATTTGTTTGCTCTTATTAGATTGTGAACTCCTTGAAGATAAGGGGAGCACATTGTATTTATATCTGTATTTTCAAAGTCACCTTCGGTCATTTAGTCACTGTTTTCTGTCAGAGTAGTCAATTTAGTTGACGTAAAATAGAAGAAAATAATAGTTATCAGATACTTGTGTCCTGAAGCTGTAAGGAATACATAATATTTTGATCCAAAATTGACAAAATTTTAATAACTGGATCAATCAGTTTGTATAACTAGATGAAAAATAAATGTGAAGTACTAATATTACTTAATTCTTCTATGAACTATGTAGGAACAGATTATACATACCTTTTGAAATAAACTCCAGAATCAATAAATGAGCTACAAAGTAAATTCCATAGAAATGGGTCTAAAAAATAGGGTCAGGTTCTTTTTTTTTTTTTTTTTTTTTTTTTTGAGAGAGTACAAGCAGGGGGAGCTACAGAGGGAGAGGGAGAAACAGACTCCCCACTGAGCAGGGAGCCCGATGCCGGGCTCGATCCCGGAACCCCGATCGTGACCTGAGCTGCAGGCAGATACTTAACTGACTGAGCCACCCAGGTGCCCCAAATAGGGTCAGGTTCTAAAAGGGATTTGTCAGTATCATATTTAAAACCATATCTTGATAAAGTTTATGTTCCAAAATTACTTAGTTGATTGTAACTTGGAATACATTTTTCTACAGGAAGAATGGCTTAAGTAATTTCCATATCATTCTTCTGATCTTGGTACAATTGAATATAATTTTTTTTACTGTATTTCATGGAAAGTTAATGATTTCTAGCATTTTTTTCAGAGATATTAAAATAATAATAGGTGTGAAAATATATGATGAAGTATATAGTCCTTTAACCTTTAGTTTTTGCTAGTAAAATAATGTCCAGATAGCACATTTAATATTTGCTGTCATTATTATTTCTAGAAAGTGTTTTCTTCTCCTCTAACCTCATGACTACAGCAGACACTAGTAAGTAATATCTTTATTTTGGAAAGCTACTGAGCAGTTCCCAGAGGTAAAACCAGATTTACTTCTGAAATATTCATTTAATTAATCTTTTGAATTATAATGTTCATTAAAGTTCATCTGAAATACAATCTTTTAGAATCTTATTTCTGGTGTCAGTGAAGTTTTAAAATGTTTACTGCATTTAGCTCATTTTCTTTCTCTTTGCACTATCCAAGTAAATATTCTTGGTATATATTCGAGGAAGGACTTAAATGACAGGAATTGAAATGATAGCAGTCGTAACTCATTTCTCTCACAATTTATGCCAGACACTTGTGCTATGTGCTTTAAAAGTATTATGCTTACACTCTTAGGAGGCTAGAATTATTATCTCTGTTATAGATAAGAGGACACTGAAGCCAGATTAAAAGATTTGCCCTAGCCACCAAGTTAATAAGGTTCTCAGCTGGGATTTAGACCCAGATTTATCTTATCTCCAGCACCTATGATGTTATTACACCATGTTGTCCCAATGAAATGAAGATTTTTACATTTTCAAACCATTATGTATTTTGAAAAATAAAGAATTTGGTTTGCAAGTATTACAGATGTTTGTTTGGGGGTATCTGAGAATAATATGATCCCTTCTGGGTGGAGTGATCAGAGCAGATAAACTGAAAGGGGAGCATAACGTACTCAAGTGTAATACTCAGTGAACATTTGCCTTTGAAGCTCTCAGGAGCCCTACCAAAGTCAGACTTCCAGATTCTCTTCCCCGTTCTGTTTTATGCTGAACTTCCTTGTTAAACAGAGAACGGATTCTAGGCTGACCTAGGAAGAAGGATTCGGGCAGAGCACATCTTAACCTGAGAGATCAGTAATACCATGGAAAAAGGGAACTAAGCCTCATTGACTCAGTAAAAAGGTCTTCAATAACTGTATGCCAGCACTGAGGGACAGAGATAAGCAAGATATAAATTGTAAAATAGGAATAAGCTCGGAGTTGGGTGGTAAGATAAACATGGGATACTGGAGGACCTGAAAGGAAGGCTACTTTACCCCTCGCCCACTGAATCATAAAATGGCTTCTCAGAGGAGATAACACTCGTTGGGAGTTTGAAGGATGAAGAGGAGTTAGCCAGATTAACAAGGGGAGCTGAGCACTGAAGGAAATGGAAACAGCATGCACAGATAAAACTGAAGAGCAGTCCTTTGCAGTGAGTTCTAGGTGTCTTTCAAATGAGCTGCATTGTGGCTCATTACAGTTCGCATCAGTAACTTGTAGGAGTCGAAGGCAAGAAATTTAGTATTTCAGTAATTCAAACTTTAATAAACAATTTGCTACCTTGTGATATTTTGAAATATTACAGGTGCATAGGGAAAACCTATTGAAATTTCCCATATTTATAGACTACCAGAGCTGGCAGCATCCTCAGAGACTATCCAGTGAGTTCATTTTTTTCACTCCACATTAGTATTTACTGTGTGCTAGTCACAGAGGACACAGAGGAAAAGGTGGACCTTGCCTCCAAGGAGCTCACAGGCTACGAGAGGAAATAAACAGACAATTATACAAGTATGATAAAGTGCTCTAATAAGAGTGGAGGGGACTGGTTAAGCACAAAGGGAGGCTCATTCATTTTTCTTGGAGATTAGCTAGATAAAGTTTTAATTAGCTCTTGAAGATTTCAGAAGACAGTTCATTTATGAAAGGAAGAAAGGATATTTTAGGTTAAGACTGCTAGTTAAAAGGAACAATTTACATTTCTCCTTAAGCCCTTCAGTCTAAGTTTTTCAACAAAGATTATCTAAAATAATGAAGCAGTGTCATGGGTTTTCTTAGTTGTCTATTAATAATATAAAATAGCCTAACCAGTGGTTCTCAGTGTGTGGTCCTGGGACCAGCAATATCAACACCTCCTGGAAACTTAGAAATTTTTTTTTTTTTTGAAACTTAGAAATTCTTGAGCCCCAACCCCAACCTACTGAATCAGGGAGTCTGGTGGTGGGGCCCAGCAGTTACCACTTTCCTAAGACCTGCAGAAGATTCTGATACGTGATCAAGCTTGAGAGCTAGTGGCCTAAGCTAACTGTAGTTCATGGACTAGTTGAAAGTTCATGGACTTTGAGGACAGAGAGACCTAGGTTTGAATCTCACTGTTCTCACTTCATAGATGTGTGACTGTCAGTCTGTCACCTAATGCCTGTGAGCTTTGGGATCTTCATCTATAAAATGAAAATAGTGCTTCCTTTCTGGGGCTGTTTTGAAGACTTGTTGATGTCATTTAAGTAAAGCGTTTAACACTGTAGCTAGCACATTGTAGGCTTTAAATAAATGGGAACTACTACTGTCGTTAGTTTTTTGTTTTTTTTGTTTTTTTTTTTTTTAGTTTTCCCAGTGAATTTATTACTTTCCCTTATTGAGTGAAAATATATTCATATTTTTGCTTTTAGATTCAAATGCTCCAGAAATTAACGACATCTATGGACTACAAGGTCAAGTGGAACACAAGCTAGCTTTCCTGAGAACTCATGTGCCAAAGGAAATAAAACTTGTGGTCATTGGCCATTCAGTAGGCTGCTATATTAGCCTTGAGATTTTGAAGCTTGCTCCTGAACTCCCAGTAAGTATGGCTCAGGAGGTGACTGTAGGTGCTGGATTATGCACTTGTGCAGATCCTTCTCAGCTTTCCTTCCCTCTTTTGTCTCTTGGTCTAATTGATAAATATAACAGAGGGGGATATTTGGTAGCTGCCTTTATCTTTATCCATATTACTGTGGGCCTATGTGGGTGTATGTTCATGCAATTTCCATGTGTTTTAAAAAAATAATACTGAAGGAGGTAGAATTTTCCAGATGAATGCCATTTAATCTAGGGTTATCTGGAAATCTGAAGTTGCATATAACTTGCCATTTATAAAGGAATACTTAAGAGTAGTCCCCAGCCAAGACCTAGATAAGAATCTGTCTTTATTGAGAGAATATTTTGCAAATGTTCGTGCCTCCTTTCAAAAGGAAGAAAATTTATCATCATCATCATCAATAAGCAAACAGCTATTCTTATGGAACACTAAATCTTTATTTAGTCATAAGCCTGGATCCTTCTCCATTCTATAGATTGGCAGCCTTTTTGGGTTCATTCGTTCACAAATGATTGGGTACCACTGGGTGTCAGATAGTAAGTGAGATGCTGGAGACACAAAACCTATTTAAAGTGCCCAAGAAAGCTAGTGAGCTAAAAGAGACTTCAAAATAAAACAGAAACTCATACTCTCAATAATATGTACCATTGAAAGGATCTATTGAATGGTTGCAATTCACAACATAAATTATTTCTTGATTCAACAAACACATATTAAACACTGGCCATGTGTCAGGCCCTGAGCTGTGTTTTGAGGACATCCCAGTGAATAAGACAGTCTTTGAGGTAAGAGAGTCCAAAGTCTAATGGAGGAGACACAGTAATCCACAGGCCTGGTAACTACTGTGTAGGAGCATGAGGGAATGCTATTTAACCTTGTAATCTGAATGCAAGAGAGGAAGTGATTCCTTCCTGGAATCTTGGTGTCCTAGGACTTTGACTTTTCTCATTCCATATGATAAAAATTTCGAGAGGAGTTTCAGAGATCCCTGGAAATTTTCTTCTACTTCTACCAGCTTGGCAAACATAGGTCTCACTCATAATTGCCCTTAGAAAATGTACAACTATAGCCTCCCTGGGTGTGGTTTTTAATACCAAATGGAGGTTGGTAATTTTCATTTATTGGGTATAAGAAAACGTATTTTTCACTTCTAAGTGTGATTTCAATAAATTCAGGACTGCTTTCCATTGACTGTATTATTGTTTCTCCTCTTTTTTTCCATAGAAAAGCCATCTTAATTGGAAAGGAGACTTTTTGTTTTTAGCATTTTGCATGGCTTCTGATCTTTTTTGTGTCTTCTAAATCTCCTCTAGTACTGTGTGATGAGGTTACCTTTTTTACGGTGCCCAGCCCTGCCATTCTGTGGTTCTGTCTGCGCAGTTGCCAAAAGCCCTGGCTCTAGAGCCAGGACACCTAGGTTCATGTACTTGCTGTGTATTTTGTCTGTGTGACCTGGGACAAGTTATTGAGTATCTCTGTACCTCCCTTTCCTCATCTGTGAAATGGGGATAATAATATGTTCTCCAAGGGAGAATTAAGAATGGTGCCTCAGCCTTAGAAGTTTCCTAATAGGTATTAGCTGTTATTATGATGATGGAAATGACAGTGGAATCATCGGCTCAGTCACTAAGTTAAGTACCATATCAGTTATCTACAGCTGTGTAACAAATTGCCCCAAAATATAATGCCATAAAACCATACATATTTATTCTCACAGTTTCTATGGGTCTAGGATCTGGCCACAACTTAGCTGGGTCCTCTGCTTCAGGTTCTCTCATAAGACTGCACTCAAGATATCTTCCAGGACTGTAGTCTCATCTGAAGATTTGAATTGAGAAGGATGTGCTTCTAAGCTCACTTACATGATTGTTAGCAGGACTCCGTTCTGTGAGGGTTGTTGGACTGAGGGCCTTGGTCCATCAGTGGCCTGTGGGTGGAGGCCACCCTCAGTTCCTTAATATGTGGGTCTTTCTAACTTGCCTCATTGGAGCAAGTGTGGTAGAAGAGCCAGAGAAAGTCTGCTGGCAAGATGGAAGTCACAGACTATCCCCTAGTTATGGAAATCACATTCCATTACTTGTACAGTATTGCATTTGTTAGAAGCAAGTCCCTAGGTCCAGCCCCCACTCAAGAGGAGCAAATCACACTGGAGCCTGAACATTAGAAAGTGAGGGTCATGTCAGAAGCTGCCTGCCTCCTCCCCCACTACTACAGTTAGTATTTCACTTGTGGTGTACAAGCAAGCATATGGGTACATGGATACATATAAATTAAAATGCCCAGTTTACTTCCCAGTGCAGGAGGTGAGTTGGTCCTGTCTAATAAAACACAGCAAACTGATATGAAATACAATTTGGGGTTATTAGTTATCCCAGGTGTTTTGAAAACTTAAAAAAAAAAAAGCTTTTGAAGAAAAGAGTACTTGCATGTGTGAAATAATAATAGCATTACTATTTGTGATGGTTAATTTTATGTGTCAGCTGGACCAGGCTAAGGGACAGCTAGATAGCTGGTAAAATGTTTCTCAGTGTGACTTTGAGGATGTTTCCAGAAGAGACTAGCATTTGAATCAGTAGACTCAGAAAAGATTTGTTCTCACCATTATGAGCAGGCATCCTCCAATCTTTTGAGGTCCCAAATAAAACAAAACTCAGGAAAGGGGGGTTCTCTCTCTCTCTGTTCTTGAGCTGAGACATCCATCTTTTCCTTCCTCTGACATTGGAGCTCCAGGTTTGCTGGCCTTCGACTCTAGGACTTATACCATCAGCTCCTCCGGTCTGAGGCCTTTAAACTCAGACTGAATCATACCCCTGGCTTTCCTGGTTCCCAGCTTGCAGATCGCATACTGTGGGACTTTTTGGCCTCCATAATCATGTGAGCCAATTCCTATAATAAATCTCTTTTCATATATATGCATACTTATGTATCCTATTGGTTCTTTTTCTCTGGGGAACCCTGACAAATACACTATTCTATAAACATAGGGGGGAAAATATTCATTGCTGAGTCCTTCACAGTCTATTAACTTAATCACTGATCTTTTTGGTTTTTGTTTGCTTCCCATTGATTCTGCATGTATTGTATAGTTTCTCTTGTGCATATTTGCGAACAGTTGTTAACACATTTGTTTTGAACCCATCTCTCCTTTTTGGCATGCACTCACATGTCTATTAGGAAAGAAGTACAATGCATCTTAAGGTTAATGCAGCTTCTTATAGCTCCTTTTGCTTTAGAGCTTTCTAATTATTGCTCTCCTTGCAGGAACCGTGGTGAAAAGGGGAAAGGGAAATGAGACATGAGCGTAACGTAGTCTCTTTGTGGAGGCATAACTCATACTGCGATTATAGAGTTTTCAGAGAGACATATAAAACTGTGTTTTCTTAGGGTGTTTTCTAGAAAATAATGCGTGCAATAAATTGTCCATAAAGGTCACCCAGGGAGGAGGGTGAACATCTGTATGTTTTTTTTTTTTTTATTTTCAAAAGTTTTGTCTGGTTTCAATTAACTGCATTGTTGAAGTCCCCCCACCCCTCTTTAAACACCTGGCCCAGTTAATATCATTGTTGTGATCCCTGCTGAAGTGTTGAAATTTCAGTGTCTCTGGGCTACTCTAAGACAGCACAGTGCTTGCATGCCTGAAGTTAGCATGACACGCTCCATTTAAGATGCATTTGACAATCAAATAAGTTTGTGTAAGCCAGAGTGTTGCAATCCCTAATCATTTTGCCAAAAATAAGTTAGCTGTTATGTTTTATAACATATGAAGTGTGATAATAAGAAACTTGTGTTTCCATCTCTTCTGTTATTTTTACTGGAATATTTGACTCCCATAAGATTTTAAAGACATATGTGTAGTTTAGTAGCTGGTTTATTTGGTTTCATTTTGGTTCAGTTGTTTACAATATTTTTATAACTAATTATAGGAAACTTTGGTCTTAAAATCATTTTAAGAGACTTAATGCATACTTTAGACATATTATCTGGCATATTTTAATATGCTAAGAAATTGGCTCTTTTAAAAATCTGGTATTAAAATTTTTTTGTTTCTTTAAGCAAATTTGGTACATAGAATTACAGAAATTCTTCCTGTTTTGGAAGTAATGTCCAGTAATAAAGAATTTAACAAGAAGCCTGAGAAAATAGGTAATTGGAAGACTATTCAATAGTAGCTGTCATGACTTGTAATAACAAACATAGTTTTAGATTCGTAGAATCTTAGAACTGAAATAGGCTTTAGAAACAGTCTTGTCCCGTCTTTCATTTCATGGTTAGGAACTGAGAGCAAGGTCTGTTGCCAGGATGCAGCCTCAGCTCTGTCTCAATCCAGGGGTGGGGTACAGTTATATTAGCAGTGGGTATAAAGAGAGTCTAAGAAGATATTTGATGGCTCTTTCAAACTTTGGATGATAGCAGAGCCTATAGATAGCATGGTATACTCCTGGACTACACACAACAAGCTTCATGCGGTCCATTATATTGCAGCTCAAGGAGCAGGAGACCCCATAAAAATGCTACTTTAGCAATTGGGGCCTGGAGGGGGAGTAACTGGAACAAAAAAGTGATAGTCCTATCCCCACTATTTAGAGTCTTCTTTCAACACTGGTCCTCTGTATGTTTAAAATGTGCCATCTGATTTTGCTGGTAAATTGTTTGCATAAAGTTCAAGGTTGGGAGTTGAGAGACCTTGATTCTTAAGTGGACTCTGCACTGAGTTGTGAGGTGAACCTCAAGTAATTTTACTTTTATTCTCCTCTAAGCATTTGTATAGCATTTTATGAAAACACTTCGTTCCCTTGCAGGGATAGCAGGTCCTTCAAAAACTTAATTTTTTATATCATTTGGCCTTTGTTGGGGAAGATGCACAATAATATAGAGCTTCCTTTGTCTGTCTTGTTAGCAAAAATATCTTCTCTCTAAATGAAATTTCCAGATTACTTAAACTCAACTTTTTTAAGCACCAGACTCTTTTATCCAGTTGGATA